GGGGGGTCCGCCATGGTAATAAAAAATCAAAGAACTAAGATCAAAGCAATAGTCTCCTCCACAATCAAACCATCTCGTCATAGGCCTACATGTATCTTATGCAGTTGAAGAGCACAGGGGGAAACCGACGGTAGTCACAAACTGGAAATTGTGAGGGTACCAATTTTAAAAGCTTGTGGACTCATAACTTCATATTTGTTTGACTTGTGGTTTATCGTAAGTTTTGTTGAATGATAAATCTAACAACAATAATCAACCAACAGTTGAACTGAAATACAGTTATGAGTCAACAAGCGTTCAAAATTGGTACCCTCAATTTTTGACTACCGGTTTTTTTTCCTCTGTAGTCTTCAGTTGTATAATATACCATATACATGTAATATAATATAATACATACATCGTATGTTCTCTGTCCCGCGTAGGTTGCCCAAACCCGGCTGGACACCCGGCTCCGTCGTCCTAACGTAGAGCAGTGCCGTGACGCCGTGCACACCCGTCTGGTGGAGGAGGTGGGCGAGATCACAGACACAGTGGACCATCTACAGCACAGGCTGAGGGAGGCTGAGAACGCTTTGCAGGTACCTGAACCACTTTTTATCTTTGTGGCTTGATCTAGGCCCTCATAGAGAAGTGTGTAGGCTCAGGGCTTGATGGATGGAGGTCTGTCTTGTTGCGGTCTTCGATCATAAAAACGTCCTTCGTGCGTGACGCCATGGCTACCACTAGACTGTCCCCGTGGTTTTTTGCACCCCGAATAATTTACCAAAATTTGATCATTTTTTGCATAATTTCTTATTATTTTCTTTTATCATTCTTTGTTAAAATTAACAGAATCGCTTCATTTCACATTTTTTGGCTCAGTTTGCACAATTTCAGAATTTTTCATGCATGAAACAACGGGGACAGCTTTGTGGCTTGATGGGTGGAGGTCTGTCTTGTTGCGGTCTTCGGTCATAAAATTGTCCTTCGCGCGTGACGTCATGGCTACCACTAGATGTCAGCCCCGCGGAAAGTTTAGTTTTTGTAAGAGTTTTCCGGCATTTGCAATACAAATAGGTTGTATAAGTGCCTAAGACTAGAGGTGTCACTAGAGAGTAACATACAACGGACAGAAAGGGGAGAGATAAAGAAGATAGGCGTTTGAACGAGAGAAAGATGAAACCTCACCAGAGCGCCCGCAAACGACACGCCCATGGGAGTGGAGACCTGGATGTGCATGATAGTATGGATAGAAGGTCAACTAAGTTTCGAACAGACACCTCAACCAGACCTTTAACGCCGGCTGTGTATGTGTGTGTGAGTGTGTGTGTGTGTG